GCCGACCTCGGCATCTTAGGCATTGAATGGGCGCGGGGCCCACAGGGACTATCGGGCCCCGGATGTCTCGGATTGGGGGCTGCGGAGAACTACGGAGGTGTCCCCCTGGATTTAGCACAGGTCGGGTCACGTTGTAAATGCCAGGTTCTCGGTTCATATTATTACCTGCAGGCCCCTCTCAGAGCTCACCTGGGCGTCCAACAGAAGACTTGGGCGAGGAAGAGGGACTGAAATGATCTAAACTTTTTAAATGTGGGAAGCGTGGCGTCCCTGATACCTCTGAAACCAGCTCTCTGCAACCCGTTGCCCACCCGCAACCACCACCATAGTCAGAAACTGACTTGCTCAAAGTCACAAAGTGAGTTCCAGTAAAAGACAGCGCTACGGTGGTGGGAAAGGGGAGCGAGGCTGCAGCTGCGTCTGAGCAACTCCCCCACCCCATCTCCACCGCCAGGCCCCCTTGGTAATAGCAACCAAGTGATGTCTTCTCTCACCTGCTAGAGGGTCCTAAGGGCATCAGGTACATGATCTTACCACAACCTCAGACCCCTCATATCCCCATTTCATGGGAAGAAACTGAGGCTCAGAGAAGCTAAGAACCAAGAAGTAGAGGAACCGAGATTCAAATTCACTTCTACGTGATAACAGACCTCTGTCTGCCTCCTTCTATGAAAACCTGAGGCATCAGGCTATTCATCAAGCATCAGTGACTCTGAAGTCACTGCCTCCCCACTGGAGTGCGCTCTTCAAGGCAAGACCTGGGACTCTCCTTTTGGTCGCCCAGCACTGGCCAGCCTGGCATACAAGTGTCCAATTAAAGCTTGTCCACACAGACTATGGGTTTTAGACACTCCAAAACATGGGGTAAAAAACATTTTCTTTCTTATGAAGGTCTCCGCATGGGCAACGAAGAACAAAATATCCCACAAAAATCTAGGGACAAAAACTTTTGCTTTCAAGGAAATCCCCAATCAATATGCCAGAAGGAAAACTCATTTACACTGATCGGTCCATTATAATTAAGAAGGCAGGAAATCTATCCTTAATACTGGAACTTTTGCACCTCAAACTTTATTATTTTAACTGTTAGCCTCAATCATCTGCAAAACTCATTTACACAGAATAATTTGTTCCCAATTATGTTAAATAATTGGAGCATTGAGATCATCACCAAATATACTAATGATCTACTCTGTCCTCAATCAACATATTTATAATAACCTAAATTGTAAGTCTGGTCCAGAGGTGCCTCCGTTGAATGTGCTGAGAGATGAGGAGATATGACAGAATGTGAATGGAGCCAAATCACTTCCCTTCCTAAGGATGGGTTAAGCGTATCAATTAACTGTGCCCTAGTGTTGGTCTCAGTCTAACTACATCTTTGTGTTTCATACTGGTCTATTGACAAGAGGTTGCTACATACGTTTGGTGAGTGAAACAATTTCTTCTATGTGATGGAAGTGGGTGCTCTTTTATGAGTCAAAGATAAAACAACTCTGTATATACAGGGGATGGTGTGAATCTGTGCACTTTCTCCAGCTCATAAAACCACAGATAATAGTACAGTGAATCCCAATACAGACCGGCACACCCTTTGACTCAGCAACCCATTTCTAGGAATAGCTCTAAGAAAATAAACTCCTCAGAGAAGATTTATACACAAAGTTGACCCTAAACAAACAGCAAAAACCTAAAAACAACCTAAATATCCAACAATTAAAAGGGAGTTAAATTATGAGATTTTCATATGCATCCATTCTAATATAGAGTGTTTTTGAAGAATATTTAATGGCCCATTTAAAAATGCTTTAAAAAGAAATTTACAGTATGATCCTACCTTCACATTACAGACCACACAACAGAGAGAGAGCCATATATAAACATATATATATATATATATATCCCACTCCACGTGCATACATGGGGCTCTCTCTGGAACAAGCAGAGGAATGAGGAAGGAAAATAGGAAAAGTGAATGAAACATATCAAAATGGTTACTGGTTATCTTCTGGATGAATTGCATGACTCTTATTTTTATCTTTGTATTTTTATTTTTCAAATTTTTTTGAGAACCTAAACTTTTGTGCTTCAGAGAAAAAACTTAAAATTAAAACCAGATTCATAAACTTTCATTCAATAAAATTCATCTGTTGAAAAACTATCTTGATATAATTCTGAAAACTCAGAGACATGAGTATAAGGATAAGATATCCATCTGTTTGGGGTTTCTGTTTTGTAGTTCTTTTAAAATCTTTGGCTTTATGTGGTTACCAGGGGCTGCAGGGAGGGGGGAGAGGGGAGCTGTTGTTTAATGGGTATAGAATAAAAATAAATGTGTTTACTTCGTGATTCAGGAATCTAGTTCTAAGAATCTATCACAAAAATATCCTGGCAAAAAAAAAAAAATTAAAATGGCATAGGCTTGAGGCTATTAAATTTTAACTTTTGTAACAGCAAAGTAATGGAGACAACATAAATGCCTATCAATAGGGTACAACCTTACAATTTTAATAAGTTTTAATCAGAAACAGGACTTTTTTATTGAAGTATAATTAATTTACAATATTATATAAGTTACAGGTATAAAATAGTGATTCACAATTTTTAAGAGTTATACTTCATGTATAGTTATTATAAAATATTGGTTTTATTCTCCATTGCACAATATATCCTTGTAGCTTATCACGCTCCCTGACTTCAGACTATTGCTACAAAGCTACAATAATCAAAAACAAATAATACCAGTACAAAAATGGACACACAGATCAATGGAACAAAACAGAGAACCCAGAAACAAACCCATGCATTTATGGTCAATTAATCTATGACAAAGGAGGCAAGAATATACAATGGAGAAAAGACGGTGTATTCAATAAATGGTGCTGGGGAAAACTGGACAGATACATGTAAAAGAATGAAATTAGAATATTTTCTCATACCATATACAAAAATAAACTCAAAATGGATAAAAGACCTAAATGCAAGAATGGAAACCATAAAACTCCTAGAGGAAAATATAGGCACAGCATTCTTTGACATAAATCATAGCCATACTCTTTTGGATCCATCTCCTAAAGCAAAGGAAATAAAATCAAATGTAAGCAAATGGGACCTAATTAAACTTAAAAGCTTTTGCACAGCAAAAGAAACCATTGACAAAACAAAAGACAACCTACTAAATGGGAGAAAATATTTGCAAATGATATGATTGATAAGAGGTTAATATCCAAGATATGTGTACAGTTCATAAAACTCAACATCAAAAAAAAAACCTGATTAAAAAATGGACAGAACTGGATAGATATTTTTTCAAAGAGGAAATACAGATGGCCGACAGGCACATGAAACAATGCTCAACATCACTAACCATCAGGGAAATACAGATCAAAACCATAATGAGCTATCACCTGACGCCTGTCAGAATGGCTATCATCAAAAAGAACACAAATAACAAATGTTGGCAAGGTTGTGGAGAAAAGAGAACACTTGTATGCTGTAGATGGAAATGTAAATTTTTGCAGCCACTGTGGAATCATTATGGAAGTTTCACAAAAAACTAAAAATAGAAATATCAAATAACCCAGTATTTCCACTCCTGGGTATACATCCAAAATAGCCCCAAAACACCAATTCAAAAAGATACATGCACCCAACGTTCATAGTAGCATCATTTACAATTGCCAGTACATGGAAGCAACCTAAGTGTCCATCAACAGATGAATGGATAAAGAAGATGTGGTACACACACACACACACACACACTGGAATACTGCTCAGTCATATATATATATATATATATATATATATATATATATATATATATGAATAATGGAATAAAATTTCACCATTTACACCAACATGGATGGACTCATTGGATGGTATCATGCTAAATGAAATGTCATATGGAGGAATA